TCCGCTACTGAGATGAAAGTGGATGACAAAGTTCACTCGCCTCCAAACACACACACAGGCAACCCCTTGATAATATGCGTTTTGCAACTGCATAAATATGCAAAAGCAAAAAAAAAAAAAAAAAAATGAAAAAATGCGATAATTTTATGGTTGCAAGAAATTTGGAGAGCTCTGTTATATTACTGAAATCCGCGACTGGATCCTTCGATATTTTGTGCTTCTTGGGGCATAATGTAGTCCTCTGGATATTTTTCCTTCGATTCCTATACCGTATTGCAATTTTTCCGTGGTCTTTCTAAATCCTTACATCACATTTCTTTCAAAACTGTTGTTTTTCCTCGCCAGCAGGTAACAAATTTTGAAATTTCCGACCACACTGAGGCCAAAATTTTGTAAAACATAAAACCTTACTTCCGAATGAAGTCGTGAAATTTCAACCGGCTGTCCATATGCATCGCCTCGATCCTGGATCATCTCAGCAGTGCGATCTTTATGGGCCGGGCCATTATCCATGGCCGCTGCCATATATCCATAAGTTAGTACTGCGTGCCCAGTCAGTGTGGCCAGTGTAAACAGTCGTGGTTTTGTTTCCTTTGCAGCCTGCAAATCCGTGTAAACCCCTCTCAGATTTGGCATCAACTTGAAAAAAAAGGGATGAAAAGTTTAAAAAAAAATCGGAAGATACTAAAAAAGACACTTCGATAATCTCAGTGACATCCTTTAGGTTTGCCACCAAATCAGCAATGAGTGTTGGCTAGTTGTTGTAGTAGCGGAATCGACTTACCAGTTCTACCATCCTTGTCAGTGGGTCCAGCATGGTAATACGTCCTTCGGCATCAGTATTGTAAATTGCTATACGTTTTCCACTACGCGATCGTATTATCTCATCGCAGGTATACGAATTCGAACCAATACTGTTACGTACCATACACATATAGCCACAGAACTACAAGCAGCAAAAGCAACAGTTCACTCGTCATCCCAATTTACGGCATTCAAAGTCCAATAATAATAATAACGATAATAATAAATAATGATAATAATAATGACGGCAATAACAATAATAATGATAACAATAAAAATAATGATAACAATAATAGTGACAATAATAACAATGATAACAACAATAATAACAATAACAATAATAAACAATAATTATTCAAGGAATTAATTCGTAATTATACCTTTATGCGTTTTGGCCGAAGAATATTCAAAATTTGGAAAATGCCAGCAACCACAGCAGCGCCATACTTATCGCGTGACATCCCGAACATGTTACCTTCGGTTTTCAAATCCGCGCCACCAGTATCTATTGTAACACCTAAACAAAAAAACGAATGTGAATATCATCGACATATATCATATACGTAGGTTGGCCAAGATTTACTCAATGTTTACTGCGTATCTTCCGGACATGAAGCACAAATACATTCTACCGTAGCCCCACTATCTAGAATTAACGCACAATACACGTAGGTAAGGCGGTTCTTGCCCAAAATGCAAAGTTCCCTCATGTAAACCAAGCGAACTCATTCCCCGAAAAGTAAAGAACATCCCAACTTTATGCAGCTAACTGTGAACTCATAATAAAAGTACAAACGCGTTTTATGAAGTATGTGTGTGCTCAACAGCTGACCACACCGGGCGATAAGCACTGGTCAAAGCAACCAGATAAAGTTGTCAAGCTGCATTGTTGGAGAAACATACAATGAGTTACAGCTAGTTCATTTATTCCAAATGTCTTTGAAAAATGTTAATATAAAAAATTTAAAATTTGATATAATTTTTTTCTTTGGAAAACAACGATTTATCAAGCGCTCATCAAAAAAAAAGAC